TCAGAAGGAACAGAAATGGCAAGTGCACTCAGTCAATACTGTTTGTTTGTTTTTTTATTGAAAATTGACTTTTTCCCAAATAATATATTCAGCTCACAATTTCCCCTTCTCACCTCCTCCCCGCCTTCCTACCCATACAACCCCGCCTTCTTTCTCTCTTGCTTTAGAATGTAAACAAGCAAATAAAAAGACAAACTAGGATAGAGCAAAACAGAGAAGAAAAGGCCCAAGAAGCATACGCACACACAGAGACACATCACACAGAAAACCCCTCGCCTGTTTTTAATACTAACTCCAATCTACTTTGAAAAAGAACCCATGAAAGGATTTCTAGTATAAATAAATAACATCACTGTAAAATATAAAATGTCTGCAAAATGTTATGTCATAAATCCACTATTTTTGTGAGAATCTAACACTAGTATAGAGAAAGAAAGACAAATTAGGAAAATGCTCCCATCTTCTGACTTATCAACCTCCATTGATTTCCTTAAAATGAGTAAAAGTTGTTTGTTTAGTTTTGGGAAACTGTCTTCAATTATTAAGCTTTAAAATCCTGGAACTCACACAATCCTGGATCTCAAAGATTAAAAATGAAAAAGATGCAAATATACGAGAAAGAATTCTAACAAGTTGTCTGATTAAAGGGATCTGGCTGCCAGAGTGACTAAATTTTGGATGCAATAATTTGCGAATCTGGATGTGTCATGTTCAAAGTTTTATGCACCATGGATTTTCACAAGCTGGAGTCACACTTCAATTTGTTCCCCGTTCATCATGCAATAATTATTAGTTTTATGCATTTGCATTAAAAAAGCAATTAAGTGAAATCAGCAACTATGCATGGCACTCCAGTCCTCGATTCTCTTCCATGCCATCCTTACTTGTGTGAAGTTTGCCAGTAGCATGGGGGAATTAGAAGGCTGGAGTTTTAAACTTGGCAGGAGTGTTTTAGACACGACACTGTTGGAAAACGTAAGCCAGCAATTCCTTTGCTTAGAGTTGTAAAAAGCTCTGTATTATCTGTGGAGGCTTGCTAGGGTCCAACTGCAGATTCCTCCATTGGGGGTTTATAAGAGCACATGTGTTCCACTGATTACCAGAATGAATATATATTTCCAGACATTAAAGGAATTAGTAACAGAGGGCTTCGCTCCAATTGATTATCATGATGTCTAGTACTAGGATGGCTTATATTTGGTAGTCTTGTCATATTTAGAAACTATCAAATGTCAGGGTCTATTATAATTTACATCTAATTACTCAGAGCTGCTTTATAAGGTATCATGTGTGCCTCCCCAGTGCTATCCTAACCCAGTTCACGGATAGCTCCTCTGTCTCTGTCGCTTACTTCTGCCTGCTTTCTACTGCATAGTTAACAAAAACACAACGATAAAAAGACACTTCCACCGTCTGCCATGTGTCTTTTGGTTAGTTCTTTATGCTCTCTAACCTCCACTTTTGTGTGTGTGCTGTTTGCTTGTGTCTATGTGTGGTATGCATGTGTGTTTTGCATGCTCATGGAGACCAAAGGTTAAGTCTGGTCTCTCTGCTCATTGTTCTCCATTTACTTATTGAGTTACGATGTCTTGTTGAATCAGGAGCACCATGATATAGGCTAGTGTAGGTACCCAACTCACCCCAGGGATTAGTGCTGGGGTTACAGGATGCTTTTGCTTGGGTTCTAAGTGTCCAAACTCTGGTCCTCAGGGTTGCTTTATCCACTGAGCCCTCTCCCCCAACTTCACCATATGAAGAAGCTTCATCTCGAGTCAGTGACAACACTGGTCACTGAGCAACCCTGCCCTTCACCTCAACTGCTACAAAGTACTCCAGACCGTGGACAAGAGGACAGTGGAATCGACTTTCCCAGCTTTGCTTGGGCCAATGGTAGGTGAGCCTTCCTGTAGTCCGTAATCCATAGGTCACATGCTATCAACAAGAAGGCAGGTGCCCTGCAGCCCGCTACTATGGATGGAGGACCTTGGGGCTGGCTGTCCATGCAGCCTGCTGGCAAGTCTCTGTTATTCTTTAATCATTAATTCAGTTAAAATCTTATCCTTCTCAAGAACTCTGATGCTTTTGATGACTGGTAGTCTTGTCATCTTAAAGCAAAACAGAAAGTAGGAACAGGTATTTTAGGGTTTATCTATGTGAAGATAGGAAAGTGTAAGGTGTATGGAGGCCTGGGCATGTAAGTTACAAAGGTCTGAGGACGGAAAGGTCTAACGTGGTGGATAAATGCAAGTTATGAAGGTCTGAGAATAGAAAGTGTAAAGGTCTGAAAATGGAAGGTCTAAGATGGTAATGTAAGGTGTATGAATTTAAGTTACGAAGGTCTGAGGATAAAAAGGCTTAAGTGATGATAAAGTGAGTTGAATGAAATCTGTTCCTGATTTCTCTATTTCTCATGCTACTGTTCATAGTCAGCAAAGTTCCACAATACCACTATACGATCATAACTACAAGGTCAAGATTAAGATGCTTTATATTGTCCTAAAAAATGAAATCTGTCAATTTTAAAATGGCAATGCTTTCAGCCAAGTTGCTTCTAACATGAATATGCTGCTGATGTGTCTTATACTTATGTTTCCACAAACTCTAAGGATTTTTGTAAGTTCCAGGGAGCTGAATTGGATCCAAACAAACAGGTCAGATTCACTCCAAATAAATATTATTCAGTCTTTCCCTGGTCCCAGGACTCCCTTCCCTCATGTTGGGACCCCTTCGGGAACCCTTCCCTCATCTTACAATCTTCCCCTCAAGTGACAGGACCTAAGAAAAAAAATTTTTTTCTAAACTTAACCTTGTCCTCTGCTCTGCCAACATATTGCCAGGTCTTAAGAGGCGCCAGGAAGTTCCATACAGCCTGGACTGCGATGAAACAGCCAGCTACCCCAGGATGCAGCAGCACCCCAACTTTCTCAGGTCCCCCAAAGATGGTCAACGCCCCTCCACGTCAGCAGGAAGCAGTCTTAAGAATTCGACACCCTTATTCCTTAATCTGCCATGTCCAATACCCCACCATTTTTAAAATAATAAGTAAAGGTGGGATTGAAAGGTTCAGACATTATGCTGGCCTGCCCCTGTTACCTGGCGGAATCCACTCAGGCAGAACCCTGGTCAGCCCAGGGTTCCATGGGAACTAAGTCTGCACACAGGTGCAAAGGACCCCTTTAAAAGACAGACCCCTGCCCATTTTCGCTCTCTACTTTTCTCTCTCTACTCTTCTCTTCTCCCACCTCTCTCTCTATGGCGACCGGCCATGGCAGTCAGCCATTAACCCTGTTGCTCTTCTCTCTCAGTCTCTCTACTCTGCCGGGCCTATATTAAACTGCTTGATATGTCTAATATGTCTCATCTTGTGCTCTTCTTCTTCTTTATCTTTAATTTAAACAAAAATCTAACATAACTAGCTTAGGAAATCTCAATAGGTACAGAGATGAAGCAGAAGGCATGAATGTGCTTAGGTAATTGCAAAAGGCCAGACATCCACATGGACCATACAGTGTCGTCCTTCCTTGTCTGACAAAAGGTAGCATGGAAATCAGAGCTGAAAAGTGTAGGATTTCACTAAAGCACTTGCAACATATTTAGGTACAGAAAATAAAACTATGGTGTTTTCACCATTGGCTATAAGATATAAGGAAATGCTTCAGTTTATATCAACAAATAATGCATATAATGCAAATAATGCATTTATGCATAAAATCTAAATTTACCATTTGTAAGACAAATTTCCAACCAGTGTCTAATATCTTGCACTGGAATCAAGAAAGAAATGCCAGGCAATAGAACAGGGAGTGCAAGAAACTGTTATGTTTAATAAAGTGAATAAATATGTGAATTTTCAGTGAAAATCATACAGATATTGACTGGTTCACATAAAAAATTCACACGTGTTTATCAGTGAACATCAAACCAAGCATTACAATGGTCATCTACATGCAGGGTCTCTAAAAAGCCACGTATGCAAATTGCAGAGGGATGGTACAAAG